GCTGCTTGGCCTGCTGTGTTCATCCAGCTCTACACCTTGTTATCTCATATTATTTGTGGTATTGCTTTGGACTGTAAATAATTGCCAGGACACCATGGAGAATGTTTCTGCTCTTTCAGTATTGAGGATAATTCATGTTTATCTTGGGTCAGATGGGGCCTTGGTTTAATGTCTGATCTGAAAGAATGAAACATTCTTTTTGTGCTCCACTTAAAGTGTAAGCCCAGCCATCTGATTAAGTTCCTGGAGTTGGATTGAACCCACAGCATTAAGGAAAGAATGTTACCAATTGACTCAAAGGTGCCAGATTATGTCTCCTTCCTTGTTTGCCAAGTATATACATTAACATAGAAGTAGGCCATTGAGCTCAATTAGTTCAATCCATATTTAACAACCTGCTCCAATATCCATTGATCAAGTTAACACAATCTAGTTCTCTGCCATAATTCATTAATGCTGTACATGCATTCCACTACCCAGAAATTAATTTATTCTTCCATCTGGATTTCTTTTGTTTAAGCTTGTAGCCCTTTATTCTTAACTCCTGATAACTATTTCTATTTACCACAAATAGAATGAGAATTGAATTGGAAAAGCAAAATGTTGTGAATGCTGGAATGTTGGAATAATTACAGAAATAGCTGGTGATCTGCCGATCCTATGAGGGGAAACAACCTTTTTGCATTTACCTTGTTAAGTACTCTTCAATACAGTCACCGCTCAGTCTTCTAAACTCCAACGAGTACGGGCCCAACATATTTAAATCTGTCCTCCTTAAGATAGTTCCTCCATTCCTGGGGTCAGCCTAGTCTGGACTGTCTCCCATGCCAGTCCGTCTTTGCTTCGGGGCCCAAAACTGTTCACAATGCTGTTTTGTAAGGTCTCTCTATTTTTTATATTCTGTTCCTTTTTTTGAAATAAAGGCCCATATTCCATTTAACTTCCCTGTTACCTGCTGAACTTGGATGCTAGCTTTTTGTGATTCCTGCATTAGGACTCCCAAATCCCTCTATCCTGTAGAATTTTGCAGTCTTTTTCCATTTAAATAATGCTCACTCCTCTTTTCTTCTTGCCAAAGTGCATAACCGCATATTTATCCCTATTATATTTCATCCACCAAGTTTTTGTCCACTCACATAACATGTCCATCTGCCCCTGTAGACTCTTTGTGCTATCCTCCCCACTTCTCTTCCTATGTATGCTTGTGTCATCCACAGACCTGGCTATAGTAATTCACTTTCCTCATCCAAACCATTAATGTTTGTTGTAAATAGTGTAGCCCCAGCACTGATCCCTCTGGCACTCCACTAGTTATATATCACCATTCTTCCACCCCCACCACCTCTTCTTTCCCCGCCCCCCCCCCAAAAAAAAATCTGTGTTCTGATTTATCCTATCCATGCTAATATACTGCCTCCAACACCATGGTCGCTTATCTTATTAAATATCCAAATATCCAAACCTTACCAAATGCCTTCTGAAAATCCAAATATATTACAGCTACTGCTACCCTCCTTGTAACCTCAAAGTATTTCACTAAATTTGTCAGGCTTGATTTTTCCCTTCATGCTGACTCTGCTTGGTCATATTAGGTATTTCAAAATATTCTGTTGTTACATCCTTTATAATACAGGCTAGCATTTTCCCAATGATAGATGTTATGATAACTGACCAACAGATTTCTCTTGGTATTCATAATTCTCTGTACAGATGGCATTCTAGTGTTGTGCTCTTGTTGAAGCCTAGATCCTATCTAGAGAAGCCCAATATTGCACAAGATATTTATTAATATTCTTATTAATACTTTACTCTTGTGATAATTGTCAAAGATTTAATGTGTTTAGCTAGAAAAGTAAACTGGACAAAGGCAGATCAGTGGCAACTTCATAGGTTTTTTTGACACAAAGCTTTTAGAACAGCACATTCTGGACTCAACCAGAGGCAGGCTATATTAGACCTGATGTTGTGCCATGAGATAGGGTTAATTAATAATCTCATCATGAAAGCACCCCTAGGTAGGAACAGCCATTAATCATTGAACTTTTCATTCAGTTTCAGGGTGAGAGGCTATTTTCGTAATTTTGAAATAAGTGTAATTATAAGGGCATAAAATCAGCCGTAAAGAAGGGTCACTGGACTCCAAATGTTAATTGCTTTCTCTCCACAGATGTTGTCAGACCTGCTGAGTTTCTGTAGCAATTTGTTTTTGTTACTTTCGTAAATTAAAGTTTGCTAACATGAATTGGTGAATCATGTTAAAGAATAGGTCAGTAGAGATGTAGTGGCAGACATTTGAGGGGATATTCCAGAATACACAGAATAAATAAATTACAAAAAGTAAGACACGTTATATGGGACAGACCTGTCATCTGCGGTTAACTAGAAAGGTTGAAAATAGTATCAATCTTAAAGCCAAGACATGTCCTGTAATTGTGCAAGGACAGGTGGCAGGTCAGAAGATTGGACAGTATATAAAACACCTCAAATTAATGATCAAAAAATTGAGGATAAAATCAGAGTACACAAGAAACAGTAAGGAAATATGAAAATAGGAGATGAGTTTTTGAAATGTTTTTTAAAACGTTAGTGAAGTAACATTGGTCACATAGAAACTGAGTGTAGATAATTGGTAATGGAAAATAAGACGACATGGGTGAGTTGACCAGTTTTTGCATCAATCTTCACTGTGGCGGATTTTTTTTCTTTATTCACTAATGGGATGAGGGTATGGCTGGCTAGGCAGCATTTATTGCCCATCCCTAATTGCCCAGAGGGCTGTTAGGAGTCAACCACATTGCTGTGGATCTGGAGTCACATGTAGGCCAGACCAGGTAAGGATGGCAGTTTCCTTCCCTAAAGGACATTAGTGAACCAGATGAGTTTTTTTCCCAACAATCAGCAATGGCTTCATGGTCATCATTAGACCCTTAATTCCAGATATTTTATTGAATTCAAATTCCATCATCTGCCATGGCAGGATTCAAACCAGTTTCCCAGAACTTGATCTGGGTCTCTGGATTAACAGTGCAGCGATAATACCACTGCACCATCACCTCCCCATGCCAGGAACATCCCAGAAGCAGCCATAAACCAGGAAATGGAAGAGGTGGAGGAACTCGGGAAAATTACGACCATCAGAGAAGTTGCACTGGGTAAATTGTGGCTCATTGGTTAGCACTGCTGCCTCACAGCGCCAGGGACCCAGGTTCGATTCCACCCTCTGGCGACTGTCCGTGTGGAGTTTGCACATTCTCCCCGTGTCTGTGTGTGTTTCCTCCGGGTGCTCCGGTCTCCTCCCACAATCCAAAGATGTGCAGGCTATGTGGATTGGTCATGCTAAATTGCCCATAATGTTCAGCAATGTGTAGATTAGGTGGGTAATAGGGGAATGGGTTTGGGTGGGATGTTCTGAGGGTCCGTGTGGACTTGTTGGGCCAAAGGACCTGTTTCCACACTGTAGGGATTCTATGGTCTAAATTGTTGGAACTGCAAGCTGTCAAGTGACCAGGTCATGATGGATTTCATTTCAAGGTCTCAAAAGAAGTGACTAGTGGGATAGTTGATACATTGGTTTTAATTTTCCAAAAGTCCCGCATTTGAGGTATGCAAGCTGTTATTCAAAGGAGGAGGGAAAATACAAACAGGAGAAACGGAGTAGATGCAGATCACTCGTGCCCACGAGCCTGCTGCACCATTCATTAAGATCACGGCTGATCATTTGTTTGTTCAAATTCCACACACCGATCTACTCCGATAACACTTGATTTTCTTGCCTAAGAAGAACCTAATCACTCACGTTTTAAAAATATTCAACAATCCTATCTCCACCACTTTGTGAAACAGTATTCCAAAAGTTTCACAACCCTCCAAGGTAAAAAAGAAACTCTCTACCTCTCTCCTGAAAGGGTGATCCCTAATTTTAAAACAGTGCCCCCTAGTTCTTGTCAAGACCATTCAAAATCTTATAAACTAAACCTATCCTCATAAGACAACCCACGTGTTCAAGGTATCAATCCAGCAAATCTCCTCTGATCTGTCACTTAGTCTCTTTATTTAAGGAAGATCTAAAACTCTATTATCTCACCAATGCCCCATATACTGAAATGTGACATTCCTCATTATGTTCAATTCCACTTGTAATAAAGGATAGCATCTCATTAGTCATTTGCTGCACCTGAATGCT